GTAAAAATCATTCACAAAATCAACGGTGTGGTGGTCTCGATAATTAGAGGAAATATTAGGGCAAAAAGCTGTTGTCCAGATTCTGATTCTCAATCACATGCCTTTTCACGGAATTTTATAAAATGACCTTCATGTTCACTGGACATACAGACTGATGGAACACTGCCGTTTTCCGTCTTCTACTTTAGGCTATATATCCTCCTACAAATAAGTCATTCAACGATCTAGACTCAAGTCTGAATTAACATGGTTGTTTGGGATTGTCCCTGTAAGTATTCCAACGGGATTCTAAGGACATACCTCTCACTTCACTGGTTAACATTTATTTTACTTCTTACAGAGTCCTCTAAAAGTAGAAATATTTTCTCCTTTACCCTTACAGTTAACTTAATAATTCGCCGTCGACATCCGTTTCTGCTAGCTAAAGAACATATCACAAATGATAATCAAGGAGTTGGAATATACCGGTCCAACTACTTCTCCATTGTTTTATCCTCTTTAATTGTGCATCTCGAACCTCGGTTGTTCTAACCTAGTCTCCTCTTGCTGTCGGATTCCCCAACAGGTGCTGATACTTGCCCTTAGTCTGCCTTAATTTGTATTCGACTTGTGCTTTTTCTCGGACGCGCAAACCATGACTTAATGCATCTTCGGTAACTTGTATCACTGGTCATCATCATCATCAGCAGCAGCAGCAGCCGAAGTATATTAGTTATTCGAACCGATGCTTCATTGTCACACGATCGCAATGACCCATGGAGCGAGAGGAGAGGGGTAGAAAAGGTATCCGCTGTGTAAAGCCTAAATGCATTAGGCCAACATTCATGGTCAAGACAGCCACACTTTGTTGACAGCATACGGTCACAAACAGCTGTATATCACGTGAAGGTAAGGCGACACTGATGACAACCATATGCTCTGCGTTTCTGCTAGCGCAGAATATGTTGGCGTTCACATGCAGCTTCTGTACTGAAGCGACAGCCACGCGCTTCTCCTCTTCTTCACCGGCCCTTAGCCTTAAGGTAATGAGCTTGTCTTGCAATCTGACGGTGCGGCTTCGAGCCTGTGTAGGGGAGCGACAACCCTCGCAGTATCCTTAACCCGTGTGTGACCGTTGATAACTGCGTGGCAGCAAAGCGTGGGTACTGCGTGCCGACGTACTGCTGATGCGCTTTTTCTCATTTTCCTTCATAAGGCCACTGCTCAAGTCGGGCTCATCCACCCATGGTCCGATCACCCTTGGTATATTGCAGAGGCAGATGTTCAGCGTGTAAGTACCAGACTCATCCTCCGTTTGCAGTGTGTCGTAAGAAGACCGATGGAAGAGACTTAAGTTATGCACCCTGTCCCATCGTCGGTTTCCAGCGGACCTCACTGTAACGCATCTGTGTCACATTGGGACCGCTGCTGCACGTGCACACACCAAGCAACACCCGCAGCGACGGGTGCGAGCTCATAGTGCCCGAGCTGAAGCTTGTAGCACACCCACTGTTTCGACCGTCGGATACTGTAATATTAGAAGGGTGCAAGTAGAATCAGTGTTGGAATTCAAGCAATTCCCAGACAACCACTTTGCTTATTTCAGCTTCCCCTTTCAAGGTGTCTCTGATGTTGGGTTGCGCTCACACAGTTGTGCTGAGATTACTCGACCCTAATAAGTCTGGGCTGGGCAATAATGGCTTTCAGCAACAGCGGAAGCCCTGTTTTTCTGTCCTCCAACAGAATGGACTACGGCGGTCATCTGTGACTATCTTTCCACGCGTACCCAGAACTTTACTTCTAACCCGAATGCTCAATTGGACAGCCTATCATGGTCAAAACACTATGGGACAGGCAACGTCGTGTTCGATACACGTCACACGCATCTTCCAGGTTTGAAAATCCACTCCGACGCACTGCGACGCTGGCACACTGTCCACCAAGCCCCTATTCGGGGGCTAAACTTCTGACTCCTAACAACTGAGATCGATGCGACTTAGCCCTGCTAAAACTAGTCAATACTAGTTCTCTAGGATTTTGTTGAAAAATGTAGGAACACGATTGTACGTGACTCAGCTGCTCTGTTCGGCCTTACTAAATGCACTGGGGAAGTTCTTCCAACCATCCGTAGCCAGCTGCCGTGGGCGACATAACATCAGCTATCGGTCCCTTCTTCAAGAATAACCGCATTTTATCATCCATGATACATTGGGTTATTGGCCTCATCAACATTGCTTCCAAATAGCTCAAAGGCGTTTCCTAGAAAGTGAGATCGGCGAGATCTACTTGGCCTCCATCCTATTCTTCTTCTCTCTAGCCTTAAGATTGGAGTCATACAGAAAGCACTCTCACCAAATATTTTATCTTGAATGCTACTCACTTGGCAAGCATGTGGTTTATGAGCCATTTCCAATACAGGCTTTGTAACACAGCGTGGTGTCCTTGCCTTTGCCATCATGGTAACGGTAACCATAACTCGTGGATAGCTGGATCGCAGTTAACCGCTCAAACTGGACAGGATATCGAGATAGTCGGTCTTTTGGGCCTCGTTGTACCGCAATAGGGGCCGAGAGCTGTTAGAATTGGCTGTCGCAGGCTAAACAATCCGGAAAATGATACCAGGAAGGCTGCGAGTGTCAGACGCACGCGCCTCAAGTTAGCTGACACGGACATTTGGGTGCAGACGCGCTTGTGCAAGACAATGGGCTCTTGCTGGGCGCCCATTAAAGTCCCGACATCAGCGATTGACTCATCGTGCGCTTTTGCTTGGTCCAGCTTCCGAAAAGACGTACTCATCATTATTGCTCCGACGCAGGCGTGTGCATCGTTGTATTTCCTATGTGCTATCTACGCTGATGTCTAACAACAGATTGTTCTATATCGCGAGATCCTGTGTGTAGTGTTTTGGTGTTTTCGTTTGATTCTGCAAACATGGCTATATGGAATAACATCCACCGAACAACTGTAGGGCTTACGCGCGTACTGGTTGTGGCATCGTGTCATTTCTCCGGTTAAACTCGGATTGGGATGCGCAATGTAGTAACTCTCCAGTGCACATCTGTACTACAAGACGACCAACGAGCTCTTCTCGCAATAGGAAGAAACCGCACATACTGACTGCAGCTTAGTCGACAATTCCGGCGACTGTACCGCTCAGACCTTAGATATCGGAGTCGCCTTTCACCGGAAGCACAACATGTATACGTTCATCATTACTAGAATCAAAGACCTTCGGTCGAAGGTTGGTTATATACTGTTCTGAATGCGTGTCTCGAAAATATGGTTCTAAGTCTACTTTTGGGAGTACAGGAGTTAGTCTGCGAGCTTGTCACATATAAACCACCTACGTTAAAACATTGTTATTGAGACACTAAGCTTCAAGTCAAGTCAATGCAGGTTTTGTCTATCCAACTGGGTGTATTTTCAACATTTTAAAATAAGTACCGCGGATGGACTAAAATGGCAACGTTAAGGACCTAAATGGAACATGGCCTGGAGTGCACAGGTGTCATCCGAAGTAGCGAGCCTTTGTGTAAATAATAATTTCCACGGAAGTAAATCACCGGCATTTGTTTTCTGTTGAAAATACAGTTTTGGTGCAAAGTTTGTCAATGGAGACGAGGATTCTTCAAGTTGCTTTAACTCCTTTTGGTAACTTTTCGTGTAGCACGCGAATATCTCAGTTCTTTTTCAAAGAATTCAAAGAAGCAAAGAATCAGAAATAGTGTAACCAAACATGCGCTCCGCAATATCTGTTGTAAACTGTTAACTCCCCGTTTGGAAAGGAAACCCATGTTCTCTTTTATGAGCGGAGATCGTAGGATGCCGACAGTTTCCATCTCTACACTCCTACTGCATGGTCCGGCAAACCTGGTAACGGAATCGTTGACGCTTGTTCGATGAACTCCTCTAGAGCCTTTGACTCAATATCCTGGTCTATATTTTCTTGGGGACCAAATTTAACTCCGGAGTGTGTTCGCCGAATCCTAGGTGGGTCACTTTGGATCATCCAGTCTCTTCCTTGCTTGCTTCGAGAAAATTGATTACTTTCCCTGATATATCGACCATGGTCAACAGCAGATAGTTTTGACGGGTTTACCCACTTTTGTCCAAGAGCTGTACGGCTCAGAGTGCCTAGTCATTCATTGTTTGTAACGCCCTGCGAATCCTGTCATGCATTTTTCCGTATCTTTTAGTTGATTGAATAATTGCTGCATTTTCAAACGGCGTACCGTTTATCTTGTCTAAACTCTGCCATGAGCTGTTTTCTTGGACCTTAACACCCAAGGAACCAACCTCACCCCTTCGTAAATGCTTCGTTTTTGACACCGCGTCGTGATGAGATGAGCTATGTATTAGCTACAGTCTAACGAATATACGTAGAATAGATGTTACCAGCGAAATTGACTTGTGCCACTAAAGTAGTGCCAGTTATGTACCCAAGATTAGCTGGCATCCGTGCTCGCATGTTTTTGGCGAGGGTGTGCGAAGTTAGGCTTTCTGCTTGGCCTTGCTTCCTTCGATGGTAAGTCTTCCGTTGCTATACCTGTGTAGCTTGTTCCACTCTAACTGTATCCATGTGCACAACGTTCCCACTCCGCGTTGCTTTCTCTTTCACCAGGTTGGACGCTGTCATGTTACCAGATGGTTCACCCAGCAAATTACTGGCTTACTGCTTTGTCAATGATTTGATCTACAGTGGAATCAACGAAGCGCACATTTTTGTGAGCTCATAATCCCACCCAGTTTAACATCGGCGCCTTCTGAAACCGCGACAGGACTTCCGTTGACACTCGCTTTCAGTACTACTGGGTCGCAAAATTCCACGTGGGCCAACAACAATTTGGCATCGGAAACCCTGCCAACCTACTTTAAAACTTTATTTCAAACGTTGATGAGACCTTTTTGTCATTCCCACCACTCCCGAAGTCACCCTACCTCAAGGCGTGACGAAAAACATTGCTATTAAAGTCAATGAGCAACTTCGGGATTCTCTGGGCTTGGCTCCCATAGATCCTCTCATGTCTGATTGGCGATCAATGAAACAGTCTCTCTCTACCGCAGCGCACGTGACATTCGAGACATCAGAACCAGATGACCAGAAGGTCCCACTAGTCGATTACCCTACAAGTACTCATCAACTGGCTCATCCGCTGCAGGGTTACGGAGAGGTTTACCAAGTCCCCATTGCTGAACACTTCCATGAAGCCGAGGAATCAGATACAATGGATGACATTCCAATACCGTCTCTCGATATTGAATTCCCTTCCATTGAACCGGTTAAGACACTGCCAACGTTTGCTGAGCCGACTGCCGTTGAGTTGTCGGCGTCATCTCCGGTGCCTACAGCCTGCGTTGATGGAGAAAGTCTGCTTCCGGACGCGTACTTCTGTGCAAAAGAGAAGAAGGAAGAAGATGACAAAGTACATGCATCACAAGGAGACTCCAGACCTTATTCAATTCCATCTTCCTTGCATCCCGGTTTAAATGCATTCTCTGTTTCAAAAGCTCTCAAACTCATCGATTCAATTGTCAACTTTTCGTACCGCGACGGCCTTCACTTAACTGAGTCGGGGGTCGATACTTCGTTGTTCCGTCCAACATGTTACCCCATCCTCCGCTGCGTTAGTTCTACCTGTCGTATTGGGGAAGGCTTCACCGAGCGCATCGGATTATCGTCCTGATGAGGTAAATGAGCCCATCTTACTAAATGAAACTGACAGCATCGCCATGAGCCGTCCACCATTTAGTGTAGGTGACGAAGAAGTGGAAGGGGTTCCACACACTTGTGACTACTCGGTGACTGAGTCAACACCAGGCATTTTAGCGGACACAGTTCCCAACTTCACACCATTCATCTTAGAACGAGAGTATGCTTGAGGTGACGGACTGTCGGGTCAGTTCACCCGCGCAATTCCCCTCTCACCACTTCAGTTCCTATCGATTAAATCCATAAGCGGACTCTGTTGCCACATTTTGGCGTTATGAGCCATTTTGCGCAGTGGCACCCTTAAATGGTGTTATCAAAGTGAACTATGCAAACTCTGTTCAGTCGCTTGATGAGGAGAGTGCATATTTCCAGATGCGGCCCGGAGCTAACCTTCCAAAAGCAAGGGACTGAATTCTACAAAGGATCCCAGATGCTTCCAAAAATCAGCAAGAGTACTATCAATCAACCACGAAAGCTGTTCTTAATGAGCTTTCTTCCCGTATTGTAACAGGCGTTTAGGGTCTTGAGGTGAAGCTTTTGAAGCCCGATGCTGAACTTGTAGAAGGTGAAGTCACCGTTGGTTCGGAAGTATCCGGCTTGTGTATCATGGACAGGGATCTCCCGAAGGACAGTCTTCAGATATAAGCGACTTTGATGTAACTGATCACTAGCTGTGGGCCTCTTCCGCTTACGGCACTTCATCCAAGATTACGCACATGCACAGAAACACTCTGCGGTTGCGGTGAGAGGCATTTGCGATTCGAATTCGCGACACCGTATCTACAGGATTTTCTGAAGTTGTTCACGAGAGCGGTGACGTCAACAAGACTAATGTGATGATAGGTGTTTCACCCGGGACTTTGCACCACCCACCGGATTCAAGGTACGACTTAACTAACTGACATCAACAAGCAATCAACTTGTCCGCGGATTCCTTTGAAGAGGCTCAACGTGAGAATTTCGTCTGCGATTCCAATGATCCAGCTCCTCCGGCGGAGAATTCTGTGGACTTTACCACATGTGTATAAGCTTTACACGTTTCTTCCGTCCCATTTACCGCTGCAAACGGCTGATTCTACTATTTGGATGAGGCCAAGGGAGATTGTGTGCAAGAAGAGGATGATACTCGCGGTAACCCCATGGGTTTTGATCACCTGGTCGTAAACGCCACCGACGATTATTCAAGTGACGCGTTAAAGTAAGTGAACCACATTTGCCCTTGCAACTTCACTTTTCTAGCCAGTCTTATACTGCACTCTTGGCGTCCAAATACCGCCTATCTTTGAGTATTTGGTTTTCATTTCTTCCGTAGCACTATGTAACCTGTCCCCGCTGCCCATCAGTAGCCTACGTACCCGCGTGCCGCACTCTAGTTACCTTCTTACTAGGTCTGAATATTTTTACCTTTTCTGCTTCTGATGACTCGCTTATTACAAATACGTTTTCTTTTTCTTTTCCTCTGATAAAACGCTTATGCACGCTTATTGTGCGTTCCAGTCAGTCAAGCTGGCCACCGCGGTTGTCAATCATGGTTTCTCACAGTCCTTCAAGGCAGTACGGCAATTTTTTACCCTGGTTTGGTAAAAACGACGTTTGTGATCTTGGGCCCTATGTTTTGTTTCACCACCTTGTCCTCTGCAGCTTGGGCATCCCTATATCAGAGACCTCTATGGACTCGGTTGTGCATGCTGGGAACGCAGATAGCGACTAACATTCTCCGGAGGACTTCTACGATGATTTGGTTGCTTCATCCGTGTTTCCTGAGGACCACATAGGGTGACCCCACTATTGGTGAGCACCGCACAAGCGAAAACGGGTACGTTCTCGAATAATTCATGAATGGACATCACGGTCTTATCATTGGTAACAACAAAGGCAACGGTGAACGGAATCGCATCAACGACACTTACGGGTCCCCGGACCAACCTGCTTCGCTCTCGCTTTTCACCTCGCCTGCGTCCAAAGTGAGAATAACGCGTAAGCTTTTTAATGTTATTTTGGCTGGCTCTGCGTCAAACCTACGCTTTAATGTGGGGTCGCGTTCCGTACTCTTTTGACTAATCCCTATACATTGGTGTTGGCACTGGGTATATGTCCTCGAATCGAGTAGCCCGTGGATTCGTATGACCCTATAATCTTGGCAACCGCTACTGGAATGTGATACCGTTTGCCTTTCCTTTCTGCAGCTATTCAAGGTTTCGTTTCCTCGTCAGTTAAGGATGGCTGCTAAAGTTGTTGCTATATACTCGTCTGGGATGTCTCCTTGTATTTAGATGTTCATACCGCACTGTCCGTCCTTTGAAACTCTTTGGCCCAGAGTAATTGCGCTTACAGAGTCGGATACATTAATGTTTGACTGGGACGGCACACTTTAAGCTTCAGCTTCGAACCAGCGCTGCCACTTTTTTTACTCCACCATGTTGGTATCGCCAATGGATTTGGTCACATGCACTTTGATGGAGGCTGCATCCTCTGCATGTCCACTGTATCGCTCTGGCTTTTGGGGTTGTGACACCCACAGCTCAAGAAACAGGGTTTTTCATGACTGACTAGTTACCGGCATCCACATATGGATTGCGGTCACACAAAACATGTGGTGCACATCGAGCCACAATTTGGTATTTTATAGAAGCTCATTAGATAATCAACCGTCAGTGTTAGCAAATATATGTTTTAGATAATTCGCCTTCAGGTTAGTACAATTAGATCGCAGTTACCTCAATTAGACGGGTTGCTGGGGTCGTTAAAACGGAGGGAAATCCGTTTAAAGCAGGTCAGCTATCGCTATTAATTAGGTTGATATCGGAGCTTTCACGCGATCCGTCTGATTAAAAAGCACTATTCGATCGGGCCAGGACAGCTGTATGACCTGAACAAATCGCTTCTGAGTGCACAATGTCGTTAAGCGCAATTGGTATTCCCAGAGTCCTTTATCATTGGCACTAGTGTATGCTGACGTTTTGTAGCTTAAAGGTACCTAGCTTGTCTAGTTATCTTGCGGTGCGGGTTCGAGCCTGTGTAGAGATGGGCGACCCTCTAGCCAACGTGCAATTGGTGGTGGTTGCGCTGCAGCGAAGCGTCTTTACAGCGGGTCGGCATACTGCTTGATACCTTTGCCTCATGTCTGTTGCACCTTGGAGTGTTCGTCGCTTAACTGAATGGAAGTTTGATTCCCAATCATACCCGCAGTCGCTGGCCCCGCAGAAAAGGGAGAATGTTGGACAGGAGGAGCAGATCAACGGGGCTCAATTAGCAAATCACACAGTTCAATATAAATGTGAAATGGAAAGTTCGTGAATGGTATTTAAGGCACACATGAAAAGCTCTGGAAGGGTAAACCTAGAGCAAATAAAAGAACGCTGCCCTCGTGTTTATTGGCCGCTTCTCCCGGTTGGCTCTCTGTTCGCCCAAATCAGGGCAGAGGGTTTTAGTTCACCTGCCGCGGCGATGTGGTCCTGGCTTGTTCGACTCGCCTCTTCTTTCCTAACACTTCCCCCCTTTGAGTTGTGTTGTATGATTTCAGCTTGGGGATGTCTTGCATGGGTGAGAGGAAGTTACGTCGCCGCTTCGGCCTCTGTGCTGCTAGGTTTCGGGGCGAATATTTTGGTTGCTCTGTTGGGGCATGTTGGGGAGGCTTCGCTTAACCCGCGTCGGCCAGTATGTCCAGAGGTAATTGCGTTGCTGATACTTGTTGTTGCAACTGTTCGCCGGTCCCTTCCTTAGCAGCTGATTGGCATGTCTTACCCAAATTGCCGTCCCAACCTGGATACCGTAGATCATGTTACCACGTTTGTATAGCACTTGGCCCATAGCCCATTTAGTATTGTGTATTCGCTAAGCTTTCCCCAGAAGTTGTTGTCCAATCTTAAAGGTTCGCTTTCGAGCACCGCGTCGGATGTTGCACTGACGTTCCATCTGATTGTTGCGGGACAATAACTTATCCTTCCTGGGTCTAAAGGCACCATGAGACACACGGCTTTACCTTTGAAACAAAGTTTCAGCCTGAGATAGTGTTCGGTGTCTGCTGATTCAGAGTTGTGCGACACTTCAGAAGAAATGGGTCAAGAATCTCCTCTAATGTGCATTCCTTCAATTTTAGCTAAGCTATTTTGAGTGTATCCAATTTGTATTCCCACAGCTTACACTCATTGCGCCTATCCAAGTTATCCTCGTGTGCATGGTCTCATTCGCTCTGAGCTCGCACCTGAGTATTGGCGGCACACGGACCATTGCTAATTGTTGCTTGACTAGTACTTCCATTAGTATGCTTAACTTACCACTCTTCCTATTCCTATGCTCTTCACTTTATGCTCGCACTGGTATACTATTGAGACCGTACGTGTCATAACGACACCCAATACACGGCAGTTTGGCCCCCTGTGACCATTTTCCCTGGATTCTGAAGGCATTTGGACTGTGGAATTATGACCGCTTTAAAGTAATTACTCTTATGAACTACTCCTCGTATTGCCGTCAGCATTCATCCGCTCCTAGCCGATTCCTTGAAATTCCTTTTCGTCTTGGAATGTTGCTCTACCTGTCTTGCTCCCGCATTCGGTCTCAACCTAGTTGTCCTCAGTTCCACCTAAGATGCCTCTCGCATTCTGGCTTCTGCCATCATCATCGCATCATTCGCTTAACTTTTGTTAAAACGCTTTGTTATACCGGTCTTTTGACCCTGCGCGTGCAGAACCTTTTTCCCACGCAGTAGCTATAGTCTGAGTCACACCAGCGACGTAATGTATAGAACGCGTTTGCGAATTATGTATACTAAACAAAATACATAAGTTTGAAGGTATCAAAGGCAACAGTGAGCGCCACCAGTCTGTGTTATTGCTTCTTGATTCATTGATGTCTCTGTTTAGCCACCTCTTTTCCCTTGCCCGTTTTTCCCGAGATTCCCACAGGTACATCCGCCAAAACAAGAAGGTTTATCCACTGGGACTGGCCGACCCATCCTCAAAACGCTTGGTC